CCATCCATCCATCCATCCATCCAGCCATCCATCCATCCATACATCTATCTTTCTATCAATCTATCTGCCAGTATTTTGTTGGTATGTTGATATGTTGATGTGTTTGTACCACAAAGGCTCCTCCATGGCTTGATGGATTTGGACCAGCCATGAACAACATGGATCCTCACTACGGGATAAACATCCCCGATCCAGAATCCCAAAATGGCTGAAATGAGTGGCTTAGTTTATGCCAACTTTTAGCAAGAACTTCCTGACTGTGACAGCTGTTCAGCAGTGGAACTCTCTGCCCCGAAGTGTGGTGGAGGCTCCTTCTTTGGAGGCTTTTAAGCAGAGGCTGGATGGCCATCTGTCGGGGGTGTTTTGAATGCAATTTTCCTGCTTCTTGGCAGAATGGGGTTGGACTGGATGGCCCATGAGGTCTCTTCCAACTCTATGAGTCTATGATTCTAACTTGGTTCCATGCACAACATGATTAAACTATTGCACATTCCGTCCCTGACTTACAAACAAATCATAGTTACAAACGAGGGTGAAACAACAGGAAGTGAGAGGAATCTACCCCTCGGACGGAAAATCCACTCCTGGAAGAGTTATTATCCAGGGAAAAGGGATTCCCCAATCAGGGGCGGCTCATCCATTACGCAAAGTGAGCGGTTGCGGTACACTTTTTTTGCCAGGGGCACAGAGGCGCCTCTGTAAATGCCCCTCAACCGCCACTTGAGGAGCGCCTCCTCGGCTCACAACAGCCCTAGCAGTCCGGGGGGAGCCTCGGCTTCCTTGCCTCACTGCCGGGTGATCCTCTTCCCAAAGGGACTGGACCTTTGAGCCTTGCCTATCCCCTCTTGTTCCTGCTCCACCTGGCTGCCGGGTGCAAGCGCAGAGCCGGCGCTCAATCGTTCTCCGCGTTCGATCCCTTCCCCATGACCGGCTCCCTTTCCCGAGCCCTTGGCACTCCACATGCCTCACGCTCCTCTCCTCTCCCCAATCTGTGGGTTGGCCAAGGGGGCGGAGCCACCACGCCACACTTGCTCCCTTGCCTGGCCCGCTTCGGGTCCGGTGGCATGTCTGAAGACCCCACCGTGCGCACCAAAAGTCACCTTTTCGCCTGACTTTCTCCTCAACCATTGGGACCAAGAGAGAGAGCCCCTCCGGAGATGCCCGCCTTTCCTGAAGGTAGGTGAAAAAACAAAGGAGGGAGTGGAGGTGGGAGATACCTCCAGCCAGAGGGTCTCTCTCTCTCTTTCTCTCTCTTCTCGACGAACAGAAAATATATATCAGTGATTGGTTGGGGGGGCAGGCACCAAAATACTGTTTGCTTACTGTTGAAAATTACCTAGGGCCGCTTCTGTCCCCAATGAAACTTTATTACCGATCCTTGTTTCCACAACAAGCCAAATCCGATGCTCAACCTGTATGCATTTCCCTGTTTGATTGTCAAGTGCAGAACAAGTTGTCTCTCTTTGCTGAAATGGATAATTCAGAGAGACAGGGACCAAAAGGAAAGGCTTGGGAGGGAAGGCATTTTTCTTGCAGGCTGCAAATCACTCTGTTTCCTTTGCAAACTCTCCAAATATGCCGACAACGGAGAAAAAGACACGGCTTGGGATGAGGAAGGAAAGGTGTTGCTAAGAGACCTGTTGCTAAGTCGGAAGCTCGGTCCTTCATGCCACAAAAGCAACGATTAGGATCCTATCTCAGAAATCGGCTTGTTTGTTCTCGTCTATCTCGTGACGTTATTGACAGAGCCTGCAGGAATTTGCACCAAAACACATCTTGCAATTACATAATTGCTTTAATACTGGAACAAATATGATTTTCCTTTCCCTTCCGCATCCCTTTGGACTTTTCGAGTTGTGCTTTTCGTAAACCGCACAAGACTCAGGGCAGCGAATGCCTGGTTTTTAACTTTGAATACTGGGTTGCTGTTGAGTTTTCCAGGCTGTATGGCTATGTTCCAGAAGCATTCTCTCCTGACGTTTCGCCCACATCTATGGCAGGCATCCTCAGAGGTTGGGAGCTCTATTGGAAACTAGGAAAATGGGGTTTATATACCTGTGCCTGTGAGTTTCCCAGGCTGTATGGCTATGCTCCAGAAGCATTCTCTCCTGACGTTTCGCCCACATCTATGGCAGGGATCCTCAGAGGTTGGGAGCTCTATTGGAAACTAGGAAAATGGGGTTTATATACCTGTGCCTGTCAGTTTTCCAGGCTGTATGGCTATGTTCCAGAAGCATTCTCTCCTGACGTTTCGCCCACATCTATGGCGTGCATCCTCAGAGGTTGGGAGGTCAATTGGAAACTAGGAAAATAGGGTTTATATACCTGTGGATTAATGTCCATGGTAGGAGAAAGAACTCTTGTCTGTTGGAGGCAAGTGTGACTGTTGCCATTGGCCACCTTGATTAGCTTATTTATATCTTTACTTTCTATTGGTTGTAGCACTAAATTCTTACAAATCTATTTAAATAAAAATGTAATTTAACAATTACAGAGTATGTTAAATTTGAAAAAAAAATTCCCACCTAGCTCCAACAGACAAGAGTTCTTTGTCCCACCCTGATCATTCCACACATATATAAACCCATTTTCCTAGTTCCAACTGACCTCACTACCTCTGAGGATGTTTGCCATAGATACAGTGAAACATCAGGAGAGAATGCCTCTAGAACATGCCCATATAGCCCGAAAAAACCTACAACAACCCAATGATTCCGGCCATGAACGCATTTGACAATATACTTTCCTATTCCGATTATTAATTTGGAAATTTGTATTAATGAATCATACAAATCTCCGAATTACAAAATGAGCCTCAGAAGCTTTGCACAGCCCTACTATATATGCAACCCCACAAGAAACACAGACATTTTGCAGAAAATCATGTGATTGGCTGACAAGGGAAAAAAAGCACGCAGCTGCTGTGATCAATCTCATCAGCCCTCTTGCCCTGTTCGTATCCAATTACAGAGTATGTTACATTGAAAACAACACAGCTTGAAATGCTTCGAAAAAACAAATATTTACTAATCTCTCTGAAACATTTTGGAGACTTCCATTTTGGTTTGTAACGCTTTCCTATTCCAATTGGTTTGTGGGATTAACATAACTCAAAAACCACTGGACGAATTGACACCAAATTTGGACACAAGACACCTAGCAGGTCAACTCAAAAACAGTACAAACAAGTGACCATCACTCATAAAAACACTGAAAATCACAGTGGAAGGGACTTAAACAGCCAAAAAAGCAAAAAGATGTTACAGAGCATAAGCAAAAACGACTCCCCTGGCAAACAAAACACACAATAGCATATCCACACTCTCTTTCTTCCGGACTACAGCTCCCAGCATCCCCTAGACCAGAACCTTTAGGAGAGGAGAATGATCCAGATGCAAGTTTTCTTCTCCCTGGATTTCTGTGAGAGCATCCCAATCCCTGCATGTTTCCAATTTCTTATTCCTGGACTCCCAACTTTGAAACGGAGAAAGGTGTCAAGCAGGGATGTACTTTGGCTCCACTACTATTCAACATTTATATTAATTCCATGGCGGAGCACCTTTACAACTTGGACTACCACCTTCCAAAACTGGCAGGAAGAAACGTATCTACTCTGCTCTATGCAGACGACGCAGTGATACTATCCAGAACTCAAGTAGGCCTGAAAAGAGCCTTGAGAGTCCTAACAAAATATTGTAATGCAGAACAGCTTCATCTTAATTTTTAAAAAAATTTGCTAAATGACCCAAGTATCACACCTGGAGACTAGACGGACACAATATTGAACAGGTTTCAAGCTTTAAATACCTGGGAGTATTTTATAACTGCACTGGAAACACAAACGTACATGCTGATTATGTAGCAGTGACAGCGCATAAGAGCTCATACGCTATCCTAAAGTTTCTCAAAACGGGAGGAGGCCACTTCATGGCTGGATAAAGGCAGATAAAGGTTCTTTGAGGCAAAATCCATAGCACAAATGATGTATGGAGCCCAAAATGGGACCAAGCTAAGGATCTTATTAGACAATGGATCCTGGATATAGAGCGACAATCAGACTTATCCTGCTCTCCAGCATTCAACATTAGCGAAGATAACAGATATCTCATCACTCCCATGGCTTACTTAGCAAACCTGGAGGTGCTTTCACTTTGGCAAGATGCCATGCCCTTCCATTGGCAGTACTGGAGGGGAGGTACTGGAAGACCCCTGCCCAGGAGAGACTTTGCCCGTGTGAGTCTGGCTACATTGAAACAACTGAACATGTGCTCCTCCAATGTGTATTCTATAGAGACATTAGAGCCAATCTCATCACTCAGTGGCTTTTAAAACATCCAGGGTTGTATTGCATGAAAAAACAGACAAACAAACAAACAAAACACAAAATGTACAGACTTGATCGATCAATCAGGAGGACTGCTGGGAGTTGCAGTTCAAGAATAGGTAGCGAAGGAAGAAAGGGGAGAAAGAGGAAGGGAAAGGAAGGTTGGGGGAAAGGAAGGGAAGAAGAAGAGAAGGAAGGAAGGAGGGAAGGGAAGGAAAAATAAAGCAAGGGAAGAAAGGAGGGAGGAGACACAAGAGAACGAAAAGAGGGAGGGAGGGAAGGAAGGAAGGAAGGAAGGAAGGAAGGAAGGAAGGAAGGAAGGAGGAAGAGGGAGGGAGGGAGGAAGGAAGGAAAGGAAAAAGAAGGAAGGAAAGAGGGAGGGAGAGAAGAGAAGAAAAAGAAAGAAAAAAAGAAAGAAAGAAAGAAAGAAGAGAAAGAGGGAGGGAAGGTTGGCCACAGTAACGTGAAAGGCCAGAAAAGTGAGCTCTATGGGCTGCATATATATTTACCCAAGCCCTGATTTAAGTCAAGGCAAAATATGCCAGTTTTGGGCATTATATTCCAAAGCATCAAAAGGGCAGAATGTTGGAAAATGATGCCATCAAACACAACATTATATTACATTGTCAAAAGCAGAATTTGAGACCTAGATCTACCATAAAAAATGCATCCATACCGTGATCATCCCCTTTCCAGCGGGTTTCCCGTTCCCCAAAAGGAGGGTTCTGGTGATCTTCTTGCTTGAAACAATCTAGATGGAAAAGGAAGAATAGAAGAAGAAAAAAGAATGCATGAAAGTATTATTATCCAAAGGTGTGCAAAGTGGCTGAAACCTGAGTAGTAATTCATTTTAGAGATTCAGATGGCCCTCAATTTATTTATTAAAGATTCGGAGGGGTCTTGTTTTGTTTCGTAACCTGAATCTTCAAAGTTTCGTAATTGTTTTGTTCCTTTAGTGCCAATGGGGGAAATTTTGAGGCCTGTTTCTCCATCGTTTTTATGGCTATCGGGATGAAACTTGGCACACTTCTAGGAAACATTTACAACTTTAAACCTACAAGGTTTCAGAATGTTTTGATGGTCCACTGATTTTTAGGAATTTTTTGATTTTTTTTACATTTTTTTAAAAAAGACAAGAGGTTCCCCTTGAATTTCTGAACAATGAGCAGGATACCAATCTTGCAAAGTTTCAGAAAGATCCATTCATCTACTGATTTTTAGGAATTTTTAAAAGCTTTTACAAATAATTTTTTAAAAACCCAAGAGGTATCCCCTTGAGTTTCTGCACAATGAGCCAACATAAGCAGGGCATCAATCCTGCAAAGTTTCAGAAAGATCCATTCATCTACTGATTTTTTTAGGAATTTTTAAAAGTTCTTCTCTTTTTCCTACTAACTCCATAAAGAAACACAGACATTTTGCAATAAGGCGTGTGATTGGCTGACAAGGAAAAAAATAGGATGCAGCTACTGTTGTCAGTCTCATCAACCCCTTCCCTGTTCCCATCCAGAAAATTACGGAGTATGTTAAATTGAAAAAAAGACCACAGTTTGAAATGCTCCGAAATAACAAATCTTTACTAATCTCTCTGAAACGTTTTGGAGACTTCTGTTTCGCTTTGTAACACTTTCACATTTTGATTAGTAATTTGGAAATTTGTATTAACGCATCATACAAATCTCCGAATTGCAATACAGACCTCCGAAGCTTTGCACAGCCCTACTATATATCCAACTCTACAAAGAAACACAGACATTTTGCAAAAATTGGCTGACAAGGGGAAAAAAGCATGCAGCGGTGGTTGTCAGTCTCATCAGCCTCCTTGCCTGCTCTCATCCAGACAATCACATAGTAAGTTACATTGAAAACAACACAGCTTGAAATTTTCTGAAACAACCCTTCTTTACTAATCTCTCTGAAACGTTTTGGAGACTTCCATTTCGCTTTGTAACACTTTCTCATTCTGATCAGTAATTTGGAAATTTGTATCAATGAAAATTGTGTGATTGGCTGACAAGGAAAAAAAAGCACGCAGCTGCTGTTGTCAATCTCATCAGCCCTCTTACCTGCTCTCATCCAGACAATTACGGAGTATGTTACATTGAAAACAACACAGCTTGAAACACTCCAAAACAACAAATCTTTACTAATCTCTTTGAAAAGTTTTGGAGACTTCCATTTTGCTTTGTAACACTTTCTCATTCTGATTAGTAATTTGGAAATTTGTATCAATGAATGATACAAATCTCCAAATTATGAAACATTTTGGAGACTTCCATTTCACTTTGTAACACCTTCCCATTCCAATTAGTAATTTGGAAATTTGCATTAACGAATCATACAAATCTCTGAATTACAAAACGAACCTCTGAAGCTTTGCACAGCCCTACTATATATGCAACTCCACAAAGAAACACAGATGTTTTGCAGAAAGCCGTGTGATTGGCTGACAAGGGAAAAAAGCATGCAGCTGCTGTTGTCAATCTCATCAGCCCCCTTGCCTGCTCTCACTTTTCCATTCTGATTAGTAATTCAGAAATTCGCATTAACGAATCATACAAATCTCCAAATTACAAATTGGAATTCTGAAGCTTAGCACAGCCCTATTCCACAAAGAAACACAGATGTTTTGCAGAAAATCATGTGATTGGCTGACAAGGAAAAAAAGAATGCAGCTGCTGTCAATCTCATTGGTCCCCTTGCCTGCTCTCATCCAGACAATTACAAAGTATGTTATATTGAAAACAACACAGCTTGAAACACTCCGAAACAACAAATCTTTACTAATCTCTCTGAAACATTTTGGAGACTTCCATTTTGCTTTGCAACACCTTCCCATTTCAATTAGTAATTTGGAAATTTGTATTAACGAATCATACAAATCTCCGAATTACAAAACGGACCTCTGAAGCTTTGCACAGCCCTATTATATATGCAACTCCACAAAGAAACACAGATGTTTTGCAGAAAGTCGTGTGATTGGCTGACAAGGAAAAAAAAACACATGCAGCTGTTGGTGTCAATCTCATCAGCCCTCTTGCCTGCTCTCATCCAGAGTACAGAGTATGTTACATTGAAAATAACACAGCTTGAAATGCTCCAAAACAATAAATCTTTACTAATCTCTCCGAAACGTTCTGGAAACTTCCATTTTGCTTTGTAACACCTTCCCATTCAATTAGTAATTTGGAAATTTGTATCAATGAATCATACAAATCTCCAAATTATGAAACGTTTTGGAGACTTCCATTTTGCTTTGTTGTTGCAACTCAGAGTAAGCTTCACCTTGCTTCCAAACACCACCACACAAGAGCTGTAGTTTTATAGTTCATTGAGGAAAAAATCCAAGTCAAAATAAAGAATAAGCATTGCAAAGTTCCAAAGATCTTCATGTAAAAGCAGGAGACATAAACCCTGGGCAAAGTTCAAACCAGAGTCCCAGGTACAAGCAATGAAACAATTGCCCCATGAATCACAATGCAAGAACTCCCAAGCGTTACTGCTTTCCAGGCTAAGATTATTCCATGAAGCTTTCAGACTAATAAGCTACGTTGAACTGACACTTTCCCTTGGTTTGCAAGAAGCGTAAATACCTTTCTAACATGAAAACATTACATGAAATCATTGCGATGACCTTTCATCGAGCTGGCTTCTTGTCTGCCAGCCAGGCTAGAACTCTGCCTGACCTGGAGATCAAGACGAGCTTGCCGGGTCAGGTCACTGTCAAGGCTTTCAGTACTTTTGGTATCAAGGTGGGAAGAAGGCGAATGCCTCCCCACTTGTTCGCTATCCCCTTCATTAAAATTCCTTTCTCTTGGGAACCGCTGTGCTGATGTTGACTCTGCACTGTCTGTGCTGTTTGTGGGAGCCGCAGGCCCAGAGATCTGAGGCACAGAAAAAGAGCCAGGAATCTGCATCCCATCATCCTCATCACCACAGAACATCTCAGCCACAACATTTGTAACACCTTCCCATTCCAATTAGTAATTTGGAAATTTGCATTAACGAATCATACAAATCTCCGAATTGCAAAACGGACTCTCAAAGCTTTGCACAGCCCCACTATATATGCAAGATGCAAAACTGCCGCTCTGGGCCAGAACGAAGAGAGGGGAGGCCAGGGGACAGCACCATCTTGTCTCCTGCATTTGCCATCCGTTGGGGG